CCTATTGAGCTCTAAGACCCCCATAATTATTCTGAAGACATTAAGGCAACACTGCCCAAGGAAGAGGCGGAAGTGAGAGAGGAACTGTAGAAGTAAAGGGGGTAAAGGAAACCTAATTCCGCCCTCTATTATGGCCTTGGTATAAAAGGGCATAGCATCCTCGGCCCCGAGGGTAGGAAAGTGCACCACCGAGTCATAATCCTCTATGTCTACGCACGGGGGAATGCCGTACTTGACCTTAAACCTATTAATCTGCTCACCACCCTTTACTTTATACTTCCCCGACCCCGAAGAACCAGCCTGAGGATTCTCGGGAGCAGGGCGACGACGAGGCATCTCTAAGAAAGTGAGAAAGTGGAGGGTGTTTTTTCTTAAAAATCCCTGAGGAAGCTTCCCGAGGATTAGTCGCTAAGTATCAACCGGAGACACCTCCAGTCATCGGAAAACAAAAAGGGATAGGAGGAAGAAAAGAAGAAAGAAACTAGGACTCACCCGAATGCCAAACGGAGTTTTTTCTGGAAAACTTTAGGCGACTCCTTCCAGAAAGTTCAGAAGCAACGATGGGTCTGCTGGCCTTAGGACTTTAAGGAAGAATGGGCAGTTGACGATGGAAGAGGAAAGAGATCTCCGGCGAAGATTCAGGAAAAGGCTCTCTTGAGGAAGTTCGGAATGGCGAAACAAGAAAATGCAAGAGGAACCCCATTTATATAGTGGCTGTTTCATCATTGGGCGCGAAAAACGAAACGGCGCATTTAATGCACACGACATCCTAAGCCGGGGAAAGCGGCTCGAGGCAATGATGAAGCATTTGTGGTTGTTGGGAAACCCTTCGTCTCCTTACGACGCGTGCCCTCGGTGTCAGAAGATCGAAGGCTGGGGGGCAGTTGATGGGACTTTTCTGAAATACTCCATGATGAAGACACGTGTCCTCGGTATTTACCAAAACACTGTTGCTAAGATCAAGCACCATCGGCGCATAAAGGTCCTCGCCCCCGAGGTACTCGTCATATAGGATCATGGCATTCAGTACGAGTTACAACCAACACGTAACCTCGGTCTGATATGGTACCTCGGTCGGTATACCTCCCTCGGTTCCGAGATGAGCCTTTCCTCGGTGCCGAGAGGTACCCCGTCCTGGACGCTTCCTCTACTCCAGGATAAGCTATTGACGTACAGGTCATTAGCCTAGGCTAGTCTAGGCTATTCATCATGACCTCGTCTTACACAATTAGTGTCAGAACGTACTGGAATGCAGGGGCCACAGCCAATGGGGGATGGACGCGTGGCGTATGATATCACATCGAAGACAGAGAAACCGCATGCCGTTGCTGACACGCGACTTGGGAAAGCAAACGATTAATTACACCATTCCCTTGATGAGACCGCATTCAATGCGGTAAGGCTCGGAAATGAAAGGCAATAAATGCTCCTAATACAGAGCATTTATTGCATCCTCCCCGAGAGGAGTACATTGTACCGTCGGCATCCCGATGACCCAGCATTGATTGCTCGGGACCCCGAGCAGTTAAGAAGAGAAGACATTCCTCATCAGAATCAGTGCGCACACTGCCTGTACCTAATGATCACCTACTGACTACACTGACAGCAATCATGAGCTTTTGAGGTATAAATACTCCTTGCAAAAGGCAAGACTGGAATGCAACAAAAAACTCTTTACTACAATACACAATCAGTGTTTTCTCCTTCCTCTCTCTTTCTCAAAGATTGACTAGATCGTCGGAGGGGATACTCCGGAAAATACTCCGGCGCCCTTCTAACTTGTTCTTCTTTGTTCCAGGAACCTCTTTCAGCCTTACTGGATCGTTCTTCCACTCCCCCAGGGTCTCCCGTTGCCGTTCCAGGTTACCACCGAACCTCGCAGGCTGTTCCAAGCAGCGTGGTTGGTCACTCAACTGGCTCACTCGAGTTCACTAAGGGAGAGATCTGTTCTCGTTTTTTATATTGTGCAGGATCTTGCACGCACACTAAGTTTTTGTTGTTTTGTGCAGATGGAAAACTAGTTACTTAACTCTGGAATTTCAACATGGAGGGCATTTTGTCACTTCTAGTCCTGTTTTGGAGGTAAAATTAACAGGTTTGATAACATTGATCCAGATTTTATGTCTCAAATTGAGGTAGATGACATGGTTGAAACTCTAGGTTATAAGAAAGATACAGGATACACAGTCTACTGTATGCTACCAGATGCAGATAGTGAAGATGGTTTAAGGCCATTGGCTTCGTATAATGATGTACTTAACATGTTTGCATGTTATGAGGGGAATGATATTATTAGCTTGTATGTAGTCACTTTGCAGATTAATAAAGGTAGAAGAGGTATATCTATTGTTGGAGATAAATCTGATACTCCTACCTTTGATTATGAATTTAATACTGAGTATATTTCCACTTTATGTGATGGTTTGCCTGATACAGTGGAAATATATACTAACTCATTTGATGATTTATCATATTTGGACTTGTTGTACTTTTATGATGGTGTGCCTGATGGGGTACACACTCCTAGTCTTGAAAATAGAAGTAGGGTTGACAAGGGAAAGTCAAAAATTGGAGAGGAATGTTCTGGTGTTGGGAGGGGGAATAGTTTTGATAGAGGCAAGGACAAATTAAATGATTGCTTGTCTGATGAGGACAATGATCATCTATATAATCCCCTTAACTCAGACGACGATGTAATAAACGTGAGGTATCAAGAATTCATGGAGACCACTGATATGTCTAATCCTAAATTGACACTGGGAATGATCTTTATTTCAGCTATCATATTTAGGATGGCACTTAGACAACATGCTATTATGGATGGGTTTGACTTCAAATACCTTATGGAATGATGGCGATAAGGTCACAACAGTGTGTTCACAGTCTTGTGGTTGGCGTATCCATGCTTCACTCATGCAGGATAAGTTAAATTTTCAAATAAAAAGCTTCAAGCCAACACACAATTGTACATGTACCTATCAGAATAAGAAAGCAATTGCGTCTTGGTTAGCAATGAAATATGTTGAGAAACTGAGAGATGAACCAGATTGGAAAGTTAGTGCAATGCAACAAAGTGTGAGAAGGGAGCATATGATTGATGTGAATAGAAGCCAAATATATAGGGCCAAAAGAAAGGCACTTAAGATGATACAAGGCAATCACAAAGAGCAGTACAACATGTTGTGGGATTACTGTGAGATGGTAAGAAGAAGCAACCCTAATAGTGTTCTTTTGTTGAAAGTTGAAAGGCCAAGCTTAGAGACTTTACCAGTGTTTCAAAGACTGTTTGTGTGTTTAAGTGCTATAAGAGATGGATTTGTGGCAGGATGTAGACCAATGATAGGTTTAGATGGTTGTCACCTAAAGGTGGACAAATGTTACATGCAGTGGGGAAGGATGGTAATGAGGGGATGTACCCAATAGCATTTGCAGTGGTTGAGGCTGAAACTAAAGACACTTGGACTTGGTTTTTAACTCACTTAACCGATGCTATTGGTACTTCATCTGATAGAGTTATGGACATTCATTTCAGATAGGCAAAAGGAATGCAATTTTCATTTCACTTATACTTTTTCCATTGATGTGTATATCATAGTGCCCTATAACTAACTTCTTATTTATGCATTGCTTTCACTAGGGATTGGTCGAGAGTTTCAATACTGTGATGGCAGGAGCTAATCACAGATATTGCTTAAGGCACATGTATGCCAATTTCAAGGACAAAGATTTCAAAGGTAAGACTTTGAAAGGTACAATGTGGGCTGCAGCATTAGCATATATAATTCTTGAGTTTGAGGAATGCATGAAAGAAATCAGGATGTTAGATGAAGAGGCTTACTGGTATTTGAAGGGCATAAACCCAACATTGTGGTCCAAGTCTTTGTTTCGTATACATCCCAAGACTGACACACTATGCAACAATGTGTCAGAGTCATTAAACAAATTGATCTTGGATGCAAGAGACAAGCCAATTATCACGATGGTTGAGATGATAAGAAAAAAACTCATGAAAAGGTTACAAGAAAAAGAGAAAGCTTGTTGCATCACACAGGTTTTTTATGCCCTATAATTCATCAGAAGTTAGATGCACAAAAAAGAAAAGGCAAGGCATTGCATAATATTTGGGCTGGACAAGGAAAGTATGAAGTTGAGTGCTTTGGTAAGACTTATGAGGTAAATCTGAAAAATCGAAGTTGAACCTATAGAAGATGGGATGTTATTGGCATTCCATGTGGACATGCAATGTTAGCCATCTCATTTCATAAAGGAAAAGTTGAAGATTATGTGGATGTTTTCTACCACACTAAGACGTATATGAGAGCTTACTCCCAAATCATCCACCCAATTCCTGATAGGAGCCAATGGGTGTCGTTGGGAATGGATGTGATCAACCCACCATTGTGGAGAAGATAGCCAGGAAGACCTAAAAAGTTAAGGAACGAACAAGATGATGAGGTAAAGAACCCATATATCATACGAAAGAAACAAAATTCTCTTCGTTGTGGTAAATGCCACAAATTTTAACACAACTCAAGGTCTTGCACTGTTCTAATGAGAGTTGCAAGCAGTGGCAGCGAAAAAACTAAGTCAAAGGTAAGATTATCATGTATTTCATCATGTTAGTATATGCACCTATATGTTTAAATGTTTATTAACATATAAGGTTTATTTGTCATAGGCACATGATTCGGAAAAGAAAAGAAGAGTTGCAAAAACTAGGAGTAGCTCACAACCAATTGGATCTGGGAGTAGCTCGCAGCTAATGAAAGATACTACCAGCAACTCACAACCAATCAAAGGGAATACAAGCAGCTCGCAGCTAATGAAAGATACTACCGGCAGCTCATAACCAACCAAAGGGAATACAAGCATCTCACAGCAAATTAAAAGGACTGGGAATAGCTTGCAACCAGAAAAGAAAGGACAAAGCTTTGTAATTCAAAGTGGTGAAAGAGTAAGGAAGAGTATCAATATTAGTGGCAGTGGGCTTCCACCTCCCAGTGGGTCTGCAATTGGGCTTAGGGGGTTAACAATTATCAAGAATTTGGAATGTACTAATTCAGGTTGTCCCAAAGGCATTGGGATGCTTACAAGGTCGAAGATGAAGAAGAATGACAAGAATCCCATTGATGAAAATGGGAAAGGCGGCTCTAAGGGAGGTGAGTGGAGCATGTTTTGACTTTGAACTATATTGGTGTTGTTATCACACTTTTTTGTTATGGAGTGCACTGCACTTTAGTGTTGTTTAGAAATCAACCCATCTTTTGTGTCTTGTTAGGCATGTAATGACCTAATGTGTCCTCCAACACAGTGATGTGCTTTTGCCTGAAATGATGTTCTTTTGTTTAGTATGTAATGAAATGGATGTTGCATTCTACTATTTCAATAGGTCTTGCATTTCACAGATTGCATTTGTTACATGACCAATGAATACGTAGTTGTTTCTAGTTGTTATACATCATGAGATAAACAACTATGAATACAATAATGATTGCATATATTACTTCTCCTTCCCTCTTACGTATTTAATCTCGTTCTCAAGCTTTGTCGTCTTGCGCATGAAACCAACTATGATATTTCTTTCCCTGTCTGTCATCTTTGGTTCATACCAGTCAAAATATTTGCAAGATGACTTTCCCTGCGCTTTACAAAGTAAAGGTTATATCAACATAGCAATTGGAGGAAACATGAAAAAATAGTTGATAAAGAAGTACCACTGTCTTGTAGTTGGGAAAACTATAAAATCTTCTTTCTGGGTTGTTTTCTGTCCATGATGTCTTCACTTTGCATTTTAGTCCACAGAAACACTCTTTCTCACTTTCTTCATGTACTGATGATTGGCTTGAAGCCATTTTTCTGGTGTAAACACAGTAGCAAAATGTATAATATTGTGAGTTGGTCTGTATTTGTGTGGAGAGAGAGAGAGAAGGGAGAGGCAAAAAACTATTGCTTTTCGTGGAGCCAAAAAAAACAGGTACAGAGAAAGAGGCTAAATGGCTAACAACAATCATGACCATGAATGAGAACTTTGCTTCAGTTAAATAAGACATCTCCAATGGTTGGGAAGGGTGTTTTTGTCATTTTCGACCTCATAAGGGTAGAATGGTCTCAAATGATTTTGTATGCTTTTTTGGCAGATGAATTTAAAATGTTACCGTTACTTTTTGACAGAGGCCAGCTAATTATTTGTACTTTTTGCGAGCCCAACTAATTGTTTGTACTTTTTGCTCATTCTGAAATTTGAAAGAGGTAAATTGTTCGATTTTAAATTAGTGGGATCTAATCGAAATAAGACTCATAGTTTAAGAAGACATTTTGTAATTAACCCTAAATTTAAATTGGAGAAAAAAAAAGGTTTGATACAAGGTGAAAATCACTCAAATTAGTTTTAAAAATTTAATTTTTATTAAATAAACATATTTTTATATAAAGTTAAGGTCTCATAATACATATAAAATGTTAATGAGTATGTATATACATGATTACATTCATCCCCTGTGGAGTGTCGAGCAGACTCATACACCGGTGTAGATTATGGATAGTCACTTCAAAGAATCCTATATATGATATAAATATGATGACAATAGTTACTCCAAATCATATTATTATAATAGTNGATGTAAATTATGGATAGTCACTTCAAAGAATCCTATATATGATATAAATATGATGACAATAGTTACTCCAACTCATATTATTATAATAGTATGAATTATACTCTATCTCGAAGCCCTGATAGTCGGCAACAGTACATCCAATCTGTTGAGAAACGAATACACCAGTCTCTGACCAACCTTCATTTTGTCTATATGAGGAGGATGTCTGAGAGTCAATGGCTAGATCCATAACCATATGTTGAGGATTCATATTCTTATTCTCGTGTGTCATACTTTAATCCATAATCATATGAGAGAATGTCATATTCAGAATCATAACCATATTAGTTTTTTAATAATGAAATAATATTATTTACTTATTATAATATTAAATTATTAATTTAAATTGTGTCTTCAAATTAATAAATAATACTATTTTATTAATATTAAAATCATTGAATACACAATTTTTACACACATAAATACTTAATTCTAAATATTTAACAAATAAGGTATAATTAATAAAATGACTTGCAGTTATTTAATATACCAATTTAGCAAATAATAATAACATAAAAGAATAATTGCAAAACGAAAAAAATAATAAAGGGTATTAAATTAAATTAGTTGTACTTTTGTATACTTAAAAGTTATAATGTAGTAAGGTATTAAATGAAATTTATCATATTTATAAGAAAAAAAAATATAAAAGTGAGAAGACTGACCTCAAGAGTCAATTGCAACTCTATCTTAACGACAAACATAGACAGAAAAAAGAGAGAAATGAGATGTCTATGCCAATGCTGGAGAGAGAGAGAAGAAGAAGAAGAAGAAGAAGAACATACCTGACTCGTGGCTCACAGCGATGAAGTCCTAAGTCCTAACAGAGAGGAGCTAAGCTCTAGATCTGCATGGAAGAAGGCTAGATTTGCTCCAATCTGGACTTAGGGAGGTAAGCTATTAAACTCTTCTCTTTCAATTTCTGTTGTATAATTTGTATCTGTGTCTTTCTCTCTCTCTCTCTCTCTCTCCGATTTCGTCTGGGTAAGCCATTTGCGCCTTTCTCTTTGCTTTTTTTTTTTTGCTTGGAAGACTTGGTCCTATGTCTATGTGATTTATGTGAAAATCTCTGATTTTCCCCTCTATTTGTTTGGCTTGGAGGATCAGTGTACTCGTGAATTATGAGATTTTAGCTCGGAGAATCTCAAATTTTTTAGTTTTCCCCGACTTTGGCCTGGAGTGCAATCGAATCAATCCACTATTTTGTCTGAAAATTGTCCGACACAACGACGTTTCGACCAGAACTTTGGAATTTTGGGATGCAACCCATGTTTAGTATCGGTGTGTTAAAAATTCAAAATGTTTCAGACATTTCGAACGTTTCGATACGACATTTCAATTAATTGGTGTATTATTGTAAAAGAAGGTACACTATACTGATGTATATTTTTATAATTTATTTTTAAATTTGGTAATCGCATTGTCGTTATTTTGTGTAATATTTAAGGGCGGTAGTTACGTTTGTTTCTTTAACTTTTCAACAGTGACTTAATTCAAAAGAAAATTGGTGAGTGATTTTTTTTTTTTTTT